GAAATCAAAATGAAGGGGCCACCACATTAAGCTACTCAAATTCACTAGAAACTACAGCAGAAAATCAACTCTGTTAACAGGTAATAAGATCACTGAAGAATTAAGAGGGCAAGATACTACAGAGTAAACATCCTTTCCGAGTTTATCATAATTAATTAACAAACCCAAAAGAAAGTCTGAAGTGTATTTCGTCATCCTGCGTATTCAATCTGTTTACAGACCTAATTTTCAACCAGTAGTTTATCAGTTTGGGTACTCATCCTGAATCACTTTAGATCACAGTTCAAAGACGTTAAGACTCTGCAGATCTATCTCAAGTCAAAGTGAGATTCAGGTACTAAAAACAAACCTTTGATGAGCTCTCAACAATACAGCATCCAAAATATGGACCACTTGGGAATATTTGGGCTAACGTGAATAAAATACTATTCAATATATTGGTTGCGTAACTCCTAATACTTTCTTGTTAAATTCTTTTATTCTGTTCCCTGGCTGACCTTTTCCCAAATTAGCATGGTGTGTTTTATTGGCGCTGTGCTAGACATTGCTGTGCATTTTAGCCACTACATTTTAAACTACAAGCCCCACACCTACCAGTGAAGTCCACGTCATCAGAACCTTGTACTACCACAGAGCTTAAGGCAGGAAGACGAACAACGGTTGTTTATAATACTGAGTAAATCAGGTGGCATTTTCAGAGGAGCCTAAGAAAATTAAGTAACAATATTCCAGTCATCTTAAATGGCACCTGACTTCCTTAGGTCGCTTTGGACTTACTTATAGGTGGATCAAGTTTGTACCAACGAAAGAAAGCACTCCTGCAATTATTTGTGCTTGGGTAGCTCTTTGAGGCTGCTGTCAGGCCTGCCCTCTGAGTAAACTAACAAATACATAAATAAAGCATCTACATGAGGTAGGTGTTTAAATCCTCTTAGAAAGTTTTAAAGCACTCTATTGGCCTTCATACAAGTAGTCCTTTACCGGAACAGATTGTAACTTACTTGGAAAACACCTGCCAAAAACACATAACTCAGGATACGAAAAAACAAGTAAGGTGCAGAAGTGGGGTTAAGGAGGCTAACAGTACTAAGGCAAGTAATTAAAATTATGTAAGCTTACAAAAAAATAATATACTATCTTCACCAAAGTAGTTAATTCACGGTTTTGACTGGCTGAATCAACTTACAAACATTAATTATCATCTGATTTTACAAACATAACTAGTGTCATATTTTGTAGAAATAACAAGTGTCATAATAAACATACTATTAGTTTTCATTTTTCAGGAGAGCTGGTATGGAACCTTAGGGACAGCCAGAATCCATTGCAGGCCAGGCTTAGTCTGCAGACTGTAAAGTTTATAGTTTACTTTAATGAGCTTTGAACTGGACTGTAAATGTACAATTAAAGATATCTCAGTTGTAGTTCCTAACTTAACCTTTGGTTTCTCTTCAGTTTCTGTATTTCACACCTACCTAGAATTATGTTTAAGAGTCAGACACAGCTATAAATGTGTTCTCATAAAAAGAGACTTATTTTTAAGTGATAAATCTTGTGGATACAGCAGTAATTTCTACAAAATTATAGTCAACTGCACTACCATCACAAGTCTCATATGGTATGAAAATTTGTAAGTTAAGGAAAAAAAAAAATTACTGCCTCTTTCTAGTGAGGACTGACCCCAAAACCCTCAATGTCCTCCCCCGTCCAGTTCTCCCCAAAGACAGGTGTGCTAGGTTTTGGTGCACTTATAAAAAGGAAAGAAAGTAAGGCAGGAAATTTTAAACACAATGAGAGTTGCTAGTTTAGGAGCTATGGCAAGGCAACAGTTTTGCAAGATCTAGCCAGGTTTTCAGAAGAATACATATGGTCCAAGCATTTTTGTGCTTGCCACATACTTCTTATTTTTGCTTTAACATATAAGAATACAGTAACTATGCACTGTCTTGAAGAGAACTGACTGTTTCTTCTTCACTGACTCAATGGAAGATATAAAAAATCCAACTCTTTCAATTCAAGGAATTAATTTTCATCCAGTATAGCTGTCTAAACTAATCATGCTCATTATGACTGTAGTACAGTGTATAAATCTTATTAGGCACTCTAAAGAGAACATTATCAATTTTTAGCATTGCCTTAAAATCTGTACTCAGTGTAATTACAAAATCAGTAGATTTAAATTAATTATTTATTTATACATATTTAAAACGGGCTCATATTTTAGTTTCTGGTGTCCAATCACACTGCGTTTATTTGTGCAGAAATGATACACTCACTTGCCAATCTAGTAAAAGGGTGGAATGTTTCCACAATGATCCTAGCAATAACTCAGAAAAAGCACCACTTCTTCAGTGCAAATCCGCTCAAGAAAAGCTTCTACACACAAAGTAAGATGAACCAGTTACTGCATTGTTTATGAAGTTTCACTTGATTCCTCCTGACAACCATTTAAACAATGAATGTTGGGAAATGTCTCTCAAAGAATCAACAACAATGGCCGGGATCAGAGCTTTTATATTTAGCTAATACTGTTTTTAGAAAGGAGAAAATATTTCTTCCTGAAGGGATTATAAGAAGTCTTATAAAAGACACCTGCAAACAAAACAAGTGACAAAAGATCTCTATCATAATTGATAACAGTTACCCTTTGTAAACATCTGCACTTCTTCAGAAGTAAGCATCATATCTTTGCTACTGAATTCCAAAAGGCATCCACTAGCCAACACGCTTGCCGATCAAGAATAACAAGTTTTCCAAAACCTGCCAAGAAGGAAGTGCTTTTGTCTTACAGATAGCAGCGCATTATTAATCAACAGTGAGTTCCTGGATTTTCTTTTCTGATACCAAACAGAACAGGCCAGCTTTAAAACCAAGTATAACAGTGTACCGGACACGTAACATCTACTTTATTTTTTTGAAAAGGTAAGCTTTTCACTTAAAATACAAACTTGAGAATTTGATAAATTATTCAATAGCCAATTTAAAAGAAATGCACACGGTAATCTACATGCGGGGAAATGTTTACGAAATGTGGTTCACAGTAGGAGCTTGAAAGAAGAAAAGAAATCACATCTAGAGCAACAGCCTTCATTCAAGACCAGTTAAGTTTTGACAAGCACATACTGCCTAAATACCTATGCACTGGTCGAATAACCACATTTTCCAATATGCAAGTAGATGATCCGGTCCTCTGCATGTGCCGTGCATACAGGTTAGCTCTCTCCTTAGCTTTTTTTTTTTTTTTGGAGCAAACCACTTGGCTCCCTCAGAAAAAAATAATAAAATTGGAATTCTCAAGACTTTGCTTCAGGGTCTGCTCCCAAAAGGAAGGATGGACGAGACCACACCAATTTTGGCTCCCTCTGATTATGCAGACTTCTCTAACATTTTCCCAGCAAATTCTGCATCCTCAGACAACCCCATGTGCCTGTAAACCACATGCCGGGGCATGCAAAACACCCACTCACTTTCTTGCTATAAAACACCACGCAAGTGGGCTGCAACACGACTCTCATGCTATTGTAAACACACGGAACTAAGGAAAAGGGTTAATCTTTTTACTTCAAGGCCACAGGACACTGAGGATGCTCTGGCCATGAGTTGGGGATGTAAATCCTATGCTAAGAGAAGAGGATAAGATTGCAGGACATCCTGAGCTTCCAGCCAAAATGAAAGGCATATATGTATTCTCCCAAGAGAGCCTAAACAAAGATATTCTGTCTAATAAGGCAGTTAATGAGATTTAAGAAAACTTGGAATCTGCACAAACAGTAGAAAACTAGTATATTATAGAAAAATGCTTATATTGCACCTTCAGGAAAGAATGTGTCGGGGCCTTAAAAGCCCGTTAATTCAAAATCTTAATATTCACTATAAACAACTCCCTAACTCACAAAAAACCCCAACTGCTTTAATTGATAGGTCAAATAAACGACATTCCTATCTTCCCCAAAATGGCATGTGGCACTGTAATTCCTTGAAAAACAAATACACACCTCAACTTTAACAACTTCACTGTATTAGGAAAAAGACTTTATCCTAGGAAGTGCTTAACTCCTTGGAATAATTTCCCCCTCCCTATTTTCAAGAGTTCAGGATTACAAATATGATTAAACTGCTCAACCAAAAATGCCTTTGGATTATTTTTAAAGAAGTCAAAACAAGGTTTAAGGTCCTGAATAAGTTATCTCTAAGAGACGAAGCAAAGCTAGCAATAGCACGTTTCTGACTTGCACGTGACAGGTCTGATACACGAAGTGGATCCAGATGAACCGCTAAGTCTTTTCTTTCTCTACCCACCACGATTCTGTGATTCATGTTATTTTGATACAGTACGATCAATTTTTTTTTGCAGCTTTATCCTTCTGCAATTTTTTTTACAAGGAGGATTAATAGCATCTGCAACAGAAAAATTACCTTGATGTCATATATAATCCTTTACCCTTTCATCATCAACAAAATCTCAGTGCTTTGTCCATCCTTTTTGTCTGCAGCAACTTACTTCACTTGTTCCTATTAAGGCTATTATATTCGCCCTATTACTACTAATCTTTTCTTTGTAAATAGCCACACCTATTTTAATCCAAAATGGTGTGGTAAGCATTTGATTCTTTGTGGAAGTAGACACATAATTAGGTTAATCTGTGCTATCTTTTCATGTGAGTTGATTGTTTCTTTACTATGGACATATTTCTTATAACAGCAATAAGCTTGCCAGATTGCTTGGAGGCAAATCAGGAGCAATTTACCAAGCATGTAGCTACTACGAACTGAAATCCTGACATAATAGCAAGCTGTGTATAGCCACTCCTACCTGCCAGTTATTACTCATGTTAGCTTTTTACCGACACATTACATTTCAACCGCACCTTTCTTTCACCAACAAGTACTTCCATTCAGTTCAGCTACAACTGTGACAAATAGCTGATCTTCACCAAAGCATGCAGGAATCTAAATTCAGAATGCAGTGCTGAAGTCTTTCACAGCAGCAACTGAATTACCTGCACGAAATCCAAAAACGTCAATGGAAGCAAGTCATCCAGGTGGCCAATATCTTTGGAGAAACGATTCAAGATTCTTCCTATAGAAACAGAGTTGGAGAAGAAAAAGAAAGCAAATATAATTCTGTAAAAGATAAGAATATTCTAAACACACCATATTTTACCAATTTAGAAACAGTAAAAAGGAAACAGCTGGAATCTAAAGATATAAAGACACTTTTTGAAACCACCACGAAGGAAATCTTTTACAACCACTGCAATATATTTTGAAGAAGAATATTTTTTTAAAAATTCCTTTGAGATGAATATAAAACCTTTACTTAAATTTCTAGGAAAAAATTAAAATCGGCTTTGAAGATAATGGTTCAACAGAATTTAACAGGTGAAACATGCATGCTTTATATGCTCAACGTGTGCATGTAAAGGCTTACAGTTCAGACAACTTAGTGCAAGTTTCATCATGTAACATCAGCCAGAATCTGCTCCTCACTTTGCCTGAAACTCACTAGTACATGCATGTACCAGATAGATACTGGCTGATCTAACTGTTCCTTTTTCGTATTTCTTTTCCCACTCCTCCACCATTATACATGGATTCAAATTGCAGGCATTTCTGAAATTAAATTTTAGAAAGATGTGTTCATACAGTTTTACATTTATACTTATTCAAAACCTTGACAATACTGTTCTTTATTAAAACTAATAAACCAATTTTTAATCTGCTGTCAGTGAAGCATTTACACTCCTCTATTTTTCCAAGTTCCACTTGAGTGGGGGGAAAAAAAAAAACCCAGTTATCGCAAGATTTCTTTAATAATTAAAGTCACAACGACGCCACCCGTAAGTATCTTTCTCTATTAATCGACACCTCTACTCACCAGGACAGAAACGTAGCTAAGGACGGGAATCTGGCCTTCTCTAAGATGTGCAATGCCCGTACATGCATTCGCATTGCTTTTTTATCTACGTATATCTTGATTCAATTATTACTTCTAACTGGTACAAACAGATTCACAGCATTGGCAACAAAAGACCTTTTTTTTTTTTTTCCTCTTTTCAAAGGAGCTCATTAAAAGGAAAGTAGTTAAGTTTAAGGTTTCCATAAGTGTGTTGGAGACATAATTCAGAGATAAGAGCATTAACTTCTGTAGCAAACATCATTCTAGTTTTCTCTTCAAGGCTCTCTTGGAATTATGAATTTTGTTGCATAATGTTGATTTCTTTTTTAAGGGGATTTCTGTTCCACGCTAAGCAATAGGCAAAGCATCCTCTCCTCAGGCCGGGGACAAAACGCCAAAGAGAGCTATTGGTGGCAAACAGCTTGTTTGGCATTATTTTACTACTGAAGGCAGTTACTTAGGCAGACAGCAGTAGGATTCAGCCTATTTTTACGCTGTGCACACAGAAAGGAAGGGTATATAGCAGCACAGGACTCAGCAAAATCTCTTTCATCTGTATCTACTGGGAATGACAGCTGGGGATGTTCCCTTTCACTTATTTCATGTTGGGGTAGATATAATAGAAGGAAATCCAAGTCAATTTTTTTTAAAGTTTCCTTTTCCTGTGATTTCCTCATGCCGAGACTGGTCATGGAAGCATGATCTAGCACTACTGCATGCATGCCTTAGCTAAGATTTCTTAATATCTCAAAACACCATGTTTCAGGTTATGTTTAAAAATGAACCAAGATTACACTGGCAAAGGAAAATCACTCAAAGAGGTTGAATGCTTCCTTTTGACAGGGCTTTCCTTAGTGACCTGTCCAGGAGAGGCAAAGTAGAGAAAGAAGATGGCATAATGGATTGGACTCAAGGTATTAGCAACCTGTTCCCACCTTTGCCACCTGTCTCCCAAGTCATCTCACTTTATTTTATTAGCCCTGAGGAGAAGGACTTGGGGGGACTGGTGGATGAAAAGCTGGACATGAGCCGGCAGTGTGCGCTGGCAGCCCAGAAAGCCAACTGTATCCTGGGCTGTATCCAGAGAAGCGTGGCCAGCAGGTCGAGGGAGGGGATTCTGCCCCTCTGCTCTGCTCTGGTGAGACCCCACCTGGAGTGCTGTGTCCAGCTGTGGAGCCCTCAATATCAGAAGGATATTGACCAGTTGGAGCAAGTCCAGAGGAGGCCACGAAGATGATCAGAGGGCTGGAACACCTCTCCTAGGATGAAAGGCTGCAAGAATTGGACTTGTTCAGCCTGGAGAAGAGAAGGCTCCAGGGAGACCTTATAGCCCCTTCCAGTACCTGAAGGGGCTACAAGGAAGCTGGGGGGGACTTTTTACAAGGGTCTGTAGTGACAGGACAAGGGGTAACGGGTTTAAATTGAAAGCGGGGAGGTTTAGATTGGATATCAGGAAGAAGTTCTTCCCAGAGAGGGTGGTGAGGCACTGGAACAGGTTGCCCAGAGAAGCTGTGGATGCCCCATCCCTGGAAGTGTTCAAGGCCAGGCTGGACGAGGCTTTGAGCAACCTGGTCTAGTGGAAGGTGTCCCTGCCCATGGCAGGGGGGTTGGAACTGGATGGCCTTAAGGTTCCTTCCAACCCAAACCATTCTGTGATTCTATTTTACAAAGTGAAGGAGAGAGCAAGGGGAGGTGACAGTGTCAAGTCCCCCTGTGAAATGCTTTGAGACCCACTGACGACAAGCTCTACACAAAGGCAAAGGATTATTCCCATAGCAAGCAAATCCCATCTTAATTCAGCTTTAGAATCCCCCTTTGTCTTTTATCCCAAAATAAGTTTCATCTGTAGTGGTTTCAGACCGCTTTAGGAAGCCATCGCGCAAAGGCCATCCCATGCAGCACTGCCGGGAGGGAGCACTTCCGGGAGGCAGCACGGTCGCTGAGTCTGGCTACCTCTCATGCCCATAGCACAGGTCCGGTCAAAGCTGGAACCTTCAGCAATCAAGTAATGCCTTCACAGTCTCCCTCATCCCACAAGTGGAACAGCACATCCAAACTCACTCCTGGAAAAGCAGTGTGCTTACTCTCCTTTTGTACAGTATGGACAATGGCCTACAGGACAGTAGCCATTACAAAATGCTCAGTCAAAAGCAGTTTAACCCTTGGTCATTTCAGTTCCAGCAGTATCTTGGGAGACCTGCTCTCCTTTCCCTCCCCTGAGATTTCTACTGAAGAATCACTCTTTAGTTAGTGTTCCTCAAGGAAGAACTTTGCAAATTTTGAGTTGGGTTTTGGTTTTTTTTTCAGCAATTGTTCAAACAGAACAGAATAGACTATTTCAGTTGGAAGTGACCTACAATGACCATCTAGTCCCCCTGCCTGACCACCTCAGGGCTGACCAAAAGCTAAAGCTGTTGCTAAGGGCATTGTCCAAATGCCTCTTCAACACTGACAGGCTTGGGGCATTGACCACCTCTCTAGGAAGCTTGTTCCAGTGTTTGACCACCCTCTCAGTAAAGAAATGCTTCCTCATGCCCGGTCTGAACCTCTCCTGGTGCGGCTTTGAACCATTCCCACGTGTCCTATCACCGGATACCAGGGAGAAGAGCTCAGTAGGAGGCTGTGACAACCTCCAATCATTTCCTGAGACAGTTTCAGTGTTGCCATAAGGAAAGCTTCAGGCTGCAAGCATCATACAAATCTATCCCAGTGCTTGCAGGGGTAGAAACCAGCACAGGCATAAATAAGACCTGCACACGTGATTCGTCCCGTGCACCAAGAGCAATTGTAGCAATGTTTTCCTCCACAGTAATATCTCTTCCAGTGAAGTTCTTTGAGGAACATAGTCATGAAGGAAAACTTAGCTCACTTGAGCTGGCCTCAGTAGTTCTCTGGTTTTACTCTCTTTTCCATATATCCACTAACCACTCCAGCTCCCACTGGTAATCAAGCTGCTGAGTAATTGCCAAGACTGTATTTTGGCAATTGCTTTATGAAATTGTTAAGTATAACAGTGTTTCTACAGACTGTGGTTTGTCAGAGCTGCGAGCTGCCACTAGGAAAGTGGAATTTAATCTGACATTATCAATAAAAGGAATCCATCTTTTAATCTGCCTAATCCTCTTTAAAACATAAATACAGTAATTCTGTCAAATGACATGGACTAAAACGCAAGTGAGCAAAAAATGGCATATCAAAAAGACAAACCTTGAAAACTAGAACCTTTTACAGTCCACCTGATATAATTAAAGCAATTTAAACAGAGGGGACATGTTCCCAAATAAACATTGCCAAATAAGCCTCTTCCCAAATAAACATTCAGGTGAACCTCTGGTAGCAGAACTTTTTTCTTTTTGAATTTTCAAGTTACTGAAAAAAAGACATTTATGGTCTACTTAGTGTTTGCATATAGTAAATCTGGAAAACAACACCTGAAGTCATTAAGTCCAAGAAAATATTTTGCTTCTTGCTAAGAGGTCCAAATCTCCCTCTCGTATGTTAACCCAGTGACCATTAACGCTCTTCTACTGCTAAAAGGAAGCGATGGCACCACAAGCCTTGGCCCTATTTTTGTTGCTGGTTTTCAATGACAGTGACTGTAATAGGAGAAAACAGAGGCCTGGAGATGTGCTTCAGATCCTGTTCACATGGATGTAACTGCACATTTTATTCAGCACGCTCTACGCAGAAGCAGGCTGTGATAACGCACTAAAGCAAGCAAGTTCCCTCACCGTATACCAGAGAGCGCAATGCACCTCCAAGCAGACGTGCTACGCTTTGGAAATATCCACAAAATGCCCCATAGCCATCATGCTATTGCATCCAGAATGATTGCTACATTTGCAAGGATGTCTACAAGTAAATGAGGTCTGTTTCGCAAGGTATGAAGAAACAACTGTTTCCACTTACTGGAAGCACAGTAAATCAGTCGCTTATGCATTATTAAGCATGCAAGAGAAAACACTCCAGATATGAAAGTTGAAGTAGCAATTTTGAGTCAGGACTCAAAGCGCTTACAGTTATGACTACAGTTTCTACTAGCATTTGCAAACCTAACTTTTGCGGATGGCTCTTTAATTTGAAGGAACACCTTAAATAGCACCGGCTATTCAAGAAGGACAGGAGCTGCAAAACTCTCCCCCTACCCCACAGAAAATTATTTCTCTCTCCAAAACTTCTAA